TAGAAAAAAATCATGATGTATTATAGCTTTTAAATATCTTTGATATTGTCTTCGATGTGTTACACTTACACCTATTATGTTCAAGAAGAATGTAATTTAAAAAAAGCGTTAGGATTATGCAAAATCCGATTCGATATTTGTAAAAATTAGCAATTCTTATTTAACGTTTATTGACAAATAATGAATTTCTTTTATAGATCTCTCTGTGAGGCTGACATATAACGAATGAAACGAGTTATTTAGATATTTTTTCGTTATGTGTATATTTTTTTATACTTCGTTTTCACCAAGGTGCTCTTGTTTTCATAGTGTATCTTTATCATACATATGATATATGAGAATAATTCGATATAAGAACAATTTATCAGTGTTCTCATTGATGATTTATCGCTATCATTCTACGATGTAATTTTGATAAATCTCTCTCGTAGGACGTCAGTAACTTTAGTTTTGATAACAGTGAGCCAGCACTGTCGAATCGTAATAATAAAAAGTAAAATATAGAAAAAACTTTATAAACGTCCATTGGCAGAGAAAATATTCGAAAATATAAAAATGTACAAAATTTTTTCACCTAATGCGATAAAACTTTCAATTTATATTAAAATATCTCCATTAGAACATATTACTTTTGGAATTGAAAGATATAACTTAACTTAAACGTTTAAGCAGGATTTAAAAAAAAAAAATCTTTGTCATTAATATACATTATCGCTTAAAATCATTTACACACACACACACACACACACACACACACACACACACACACACACACACACACACACACACACACACGCACGCACGCACGCACGCACGCAACGCACGCGCGGAGATACAATAATACTTGTACGTGGCGTTAAAAAAAAGTTTGTATACAAGTCTGATATTGAGACAAGCCTATAGCAAAACTTGCGCTAGACGAACGAAGCGTTCGCACGCACGAAAAATTCACTCGTATGTACATTTTTGTTCTTGATTGATACAATTTCTGCGTAGATTCATAGATGGCATTACGTTACACGAGTGCAGATGCCGGTAGGGAGCTGTGCTTTGGTTTTGTCTTGTTTAAAAAAACCTTTATACACCCATTAAAATCAGCGCTCACGAGGACGTGGCCTCCGCAGCCTTTAGTGCGTTGTTCAACGACAGGATCAACAGGAACCCCATCTATGTTAGAGCTATCCATGCCTTTCGACTCCTCTTTGTTCTCCCATTGTTCTCTCGCTTCGATTTGCTTGATAATACTATCTGGATTTGGTGCGAATACGGCACACGTTACTACAGCATTGTGCGCCTTTATGCCCTCCCAGAAATCATTTCGATCCCTACGAACGCTAGAAAATTTGGAATAATCATGATGGGTTTTCCAGATATAAATGCACTGGTTTTCAGAACCGCTAACTATATATTGTCCATCTGGGCTGAAACTTGCTTTAATTTGACTACTGATGTTAACGTATCCCTTATATTTGCAAGACAAATTCAAATCTCTCAAATCGTACAGACGAATGCGACTGTCATTCGATGTGACCAATATCTTGTCTTCTCCCGGCATTGGCTCGATTCCACTGATCTTACGGCCAGTGGAATTTTTTCCTCTTGTTGATCGGACATGTATTTGAGTATGGTATTTCAATTGATCGGTATTATAAAATATGCAACGACCATCATATGATCCCACAACCGCAAATTTTCCGTTCTGACAAAAGTTTGCCGCAGTAATCAACTTTGTTTGTCCGTCCACTTCGTTCCATACCGCAACCTTTTTATCTGGAATATTCCATAAACGTAATTTACCATCCAGCGATCCTGAGAGAAAGTATCGGTCGTCCCGCGGATGAAATACTATGGCGGTGACAAAGTCGATATGTTGAAAGCAACATAAGCATTCCTTACGAGATATATGCCAAAGTCGTACAGTTTTATCCATCGATGAAGATAAAACGAAATAGTTTTTAGACCATGAGACGTCAAGTAGATCTGAGGTATGACCGGTATATGTGCAAAATGGCTTTGGCATGAATGGACTTTTCGTTCCTTCTATCTCGCTGAAGGCACTAGCCACGATGTTAGGATCTTCCATAGATTGCTGCGAAACTAACGATTCCTGTGAAGGAGTAGGACTGACTTTTTCCGCATTATATTTGGTTCGCATGTCTTGAAAATACGTAAAGGCGTCTCGTAGAACCCAAATCCTTAGAACACGATCTTGTCCTGCAGTGGCCAACAATCGACCGCAGGCTGAAAACTTCATGCACCAAACAGGTCCTACGTGTTCCCCACTAAGATCTTGAACGTGCTGCAGACAACTGAATTCATACGGACCTTTGTGACTATTTGATGCCTTTAATTTTATATACTGCTGTTCACCAGGATAGACTTCGTCTACTATATCCATGACATCTTCCTTATGTCTCGCATGTGATACTTCTTGCGCGATCGATTTGGCTTTGTCCATGGTCTTTTTTACAGTCGATCCTAGGAATCGTTTCAATTTTTGCGTCCGTTTACGAACTCTATCTACAGATACATCTTCATCTGGCGGTATACTAGACATTTTACTGTCCACGCTTTCCTCATCGCTCTCTTTTTCCTTCTCGAGACTAGAATTGCTTATGTACTTGGATTTAGTAAGTCTCATAATATGTAATGACAAAGGATTGATACATTGTGGTAATTTATCTTCTGCTATACTTAATGGCACCTGCTCTCCCGTATCTAAATTCGTCACAGGCACTTGTTCCAGGATTTCCTGTAAAAACACATGGCATTTAAAAATATCATTCTATTTTTATATCCTTAACCTTTACACACATTAGTTTTGGGTATCCTTAATACAAATGTTCAGTCATTCGTGTCTTGATTTAATTTTCACTTTTACAAGTATAAATTAATACTTTTACAAGAATATATAAATTATTAAACAATTTCAACATATATTTTGACATCTTTAGAAAGTATTTGCAGTTATATATAAAACAAATTATAAATAAATAGATAAATTCTTGTAACTAAATGTAATTAATGAAATCAGAAAAATGCACTGTTTCATGTAAAAATATAAAAAACTCTGAAACAAAAATGTTTAAAGGAAAAATATGGTTCAGTATCTTAAAATTGACATTTCAAACTACAAAAAAAAGATATTGGAGTTCTAATGTCGGCTGTCCAAAATTTAATTATTCAATAACCTGAAAATGATGTTTCTTTTTTAATATACATAAATGGCTATAAATTGAAGATATATTGTATTTACATTTTAAAACAATGGATTTTATTATTGCTATTGTGTTAAAAAAATTTATAATTTATTAGGAAAATATTCTTTCTAACATTACAGATAACATAATATATTATATAATATTACTAACAACATTTAGAACAAAGATACCAAAAATAAATAAAAAAATTTATTAAGAACTAGTATGTTTTAATTTCTTTTTTAATAATTCGCGAAATATTCTCGCAATGCAATCGAGAATTAATTGAAGTTTAAGAAAGAAAGTTAAAGAAAAAAAAAACATTTTTTTAAGTTACAGAAAATATACACTCTGTACACACCTTGGGTCATTTGTGACCCAGAAGTGAACTTTGGAGTTATGCAAGTTAAAAGATACGCATGAATCGAGGCTGTTAAAGCACTAAACTTGTTCTTTAGATGCCAAACTTTTTTTTAATAATAAAAAAGAAACCGATATTTGACCAAGTACTCTTAGTATTTAAAAAAAAAAGAAATGGGCGGAACACAAATGACCCAGATGTGTATACTAAGGATAATATTAATATGGAATATATCTTTACGTTTATATAGATTAATTGAATGACAAACCATATCGGTAAGCCGCTTGCCAGAATCTGTCCTAGTCCTTACAAACATATTTAGTTGCTTGACCATATCTTGATCACCAGCAGATTTACGCCTTTCTTTGGAACCTTGTGGACTCATGCCTGAGAGTTTATGTAGACCTAGAGAATAACGGCCAATACTATTGCTTGATGTTGATCCTAATGGACTGCTAGATTTTTCACTTGATCGATTAAGTAATTCTGCTTTCATTCTTTCTACTCTTTCTAGTTCCTCAGTAGATGGACCTTCTGCTTTCAATTTATCTTCATCCTAACAAAAAAAATATATACATATAATATTCTTGAGGCTTCCACAGATTTCTATATTTCTATAAAGATTATGCGTTTCGTGGGTTTTCTCCGTGTATAAATCCATTCTTAGAATGCCAATGTTTTGTGAATCTTGCAGTCCTTCATCAGTATCAGGTTGCTTCTCGCCCTGATGAAGTGGACTGCAAGGTTCACGAAACATTGGCATTCCAAGAATAAATCTGGACATGAAGAAAACCCACGAAATGCATAATTTTTATATATATGCATATATATATGTATATATATATATATATATACATATACGTACAAAAATTTTCATTTTTCATGTTTTTGCCCTAGAGAAAAAGTTACA